GAGTTTATTAATGATCTTGGCTTTGAGCAGCCACGGTACATCTTATTTTGTGATAATCAGAGTGCTATCTGTCTCACCAAGCACTCCACTTTTCATTCTAAGACCAAACATATAAATAGAAAGTATCATTGGATAAGAATGGCCGTGGAAGAGAAATTATTTAAGGTTGAGAAGATACACACTGATGAAAATCCTTCGGATATGCTGACAAAGGCGGTGGTTGCAGATAAACATGAATTTTGTAGAAAATTGGCAGGCATGAAGCCTGTCAATAGTTCCTCTACTTGAAGACACATTTGGCCCCTTGGCTGGAGGGGGAGTTTGTTGGGCACATGCCCATGTTGTCCAGCCAAAGGCCCAATGGCCTAATCCTATTCTCTTTTGGTTTCCAATCCTATTTGGAATTGGATTCGGTTTATTCCTATTTTGAGTGGGTTTTGGTTTTAAGAGAAAGCACCACTCATGATCTATAAATAGGACAACCTTGGATAATTATTCTATGCTCATTGATACAAGTCTTTGAAAGACTTAAGCACATAAGAGTAGGTTCTGTGAGAGCTTTCATCAAGAGAGAGAGAAAAAAAAAAGTATTTGTTTTGCTGCAGATTTTTATTCCGACCAGCCAACTTCAAATCACGTTTTCTGATTCGTTAACCGTTGGATCGGGCTAAAATTTTGACTGAGTGTTCATATCATCTTGGTCTTGGATTTGAACGGTGGAGATCGGATTTGGAGGCTCGTAGCATCTGATTTCGAGCCTTGAACAGCAGCTTCGTTTTGTGGATTATACTCTTTCTTCAATTGATTAGTTGTTGCTCTTGTTGCTATTGTTGCTCCGTGTTTGGCCCTTGTTGTGTAGCCAATTTGGAGAACTTTTGTAACACTCTTATTGTTATAGTGGAGCTTTTTGGATCTTTGTGATCCCGTGGTTTTTACCTTCGATTTGAAGGGTTTTCCACGTTAAAATTTGGTGTTCTTTATCTTCTTTATTTTCGGATTTGCCTCTTCCTCGACATAACAGTGGTATCAGAGCCTTGGTTATTTATCCGGGTTATTACGGAATGGAGGCAAATATGAGCAAGATGGTATGTTTAAATGGGAGAAATTATAATGTTTGGAGAAGCAAGATGAAAGACTTGTTGTTCGTGAAGAAGATGCATCTACCCGTTTTTTCAGCTCATAAACCCGAGAGTATATCCGATGAAGATTGGGATTTCGAGCACCAACAAGTATGTGGATATATACGGCAATGGGTTGAAGATAATGTTCGCAACCATATTGTGAACGAGATCATTGTGGGAAAAGCTAGAGACTCTTTATGCTTCAAAAACCGGGAACAACAAATTATTTTTGCTGAAGCAATTGATGACCTTTAAATACAAGGAAGGCAGCCCTATCCTTGATCACATAAATGATTTTCAGGGCGTCCTTGATCAGCTATCTGGAATGGGGGTTAATTTTGATGATGAGATACAAGGACTTTGGCTTCTTAATACTCTGCCAGACTCTTGGGAAACTCTTCGTGTTTCTTTGACAAATTCAGCTCCTGGAGGTAAGGTGACCATGGAATATGTCAAGAGTGGTGTGTTGAACGAGGAAGTAAGGAGAAAATCGCAGGGTTCATCCTCACAAGCAGATATCTTGGTTACAGAAGACCGGGGGAGAGATAGAACAAGAGGCTCAAGGAATAGAGGTAAAAGTAGAAGTAAGTCAAGGTCCAAATACTATAATGTTACATGCAACCACTATGGCAAGAAAGGACACATCAAAAGGTTTTGCCGCAAGTTAAATCAAGACACTAGAGAAGGAAAGAAAGTTGAAAATAACGAGAACAATGTTGCTGCTATTGTTCAAGATGACCTTCTTTTTGCTTATGATGAAAACGTCATCAATTTGGTATCCCATGAGACGAGCTGGATAGTAGATTCTGGAGTTACCTCACATGTCACACCAAGAAAAGATTTTTTCTCATCTTATACTCATGTTGATTCTGGAGTGTTAAAGATGGGCAATGCCAGTGAAGTTAAGGTGTTTGGTGTTGGCACAGTTTGTTTGAAAACTAATAATAGTTCAATGTTAGTTCTTCAAGATGTGAAGCATGCTCCAGACTTTCCTCTCAATTTGATCTCCGCAGGAAGATTAGACGATGAAGGTTACCATAATGCTCTCTTTAACGGCCAATGGAAGCTCACCAAGGGCTCGTTAGTAGTGGCTCGAGGAGTCAAGTCTGGTCAATTATATGTGACACAAGGCTCTATTCTTAATGACTCAATAAATCTGGTGGAAAGTGATAGTTTGTCAGAATTGTGGCATCGAAGATTGAGTCATATGAGTGAGAGAGGGATTACGTGTTTGGCTAAGAAAAGTTTGCTTTCTGGAGTAAAACAAGCAAAGCTGCAAAGTTGCATACATTATTTAGCTGGCAAACAGAAAAGGGTTTCCTTTCATAGCCATCCTCCCTCAAGAAAGCCCGATTTATTAGAGCTAGTACACTCTGATTTGTGTGGTCCTTTTAAAGTAAAGTCAAAAGGTGCTGCACTTTACTTTGTGACCTTCATTGATGATCATTCTCGTAAGCTCTGGGTGTATCCTTTGAAATCTAAAGATCAAGCACTTGGCGTGTTTAAGGAATTTCAGGCCTTAGCTGAGAGACAGACGGGGAAGAAATTAAAATGTATTCGCACTGACAATGGTGGTGAATATTGTGGTCCCTTTGATAACTATTGCAAGGAACAAGGAATTCGTCATCAGAAAACTCCGCCCAAGACGCCTCAATTGAACGGTTTGGCAGAGAGGATGAATAGAACTCTAGTTGAGAGAGTTAGATGCTTACTTTCAGAGGCTAAACTTCCAAATATATTTTGGGCGGAAGCACTTAACACTGTTGCCTATGTTATCAATTTGTCTCCTGCTGTTGCTTTGGATGGTGATGTCCCAGACAGAGTTTGGTTTGCCAAAGATGTTTCTTATGATCACCTGAGAGTTTTTGGGTGTAAAGCTTGTGTGCATATTCCTAAAGATGAGAGATCGAAACTGGATGTCAAAACTAAGCAGTGCATCTTTATCGGTTATGGTCAAGATGAGTTTGGGTATCGTTTTTATGATCCAATTGACAATAAACTTATTAGAAGTCGTGATGCAATATTCTTTGAAGACCAAACTATTGAAGATATTGACAAAGCTGAGAAGATAGATTCTCAGAGTAATGAGAGCTTAGTTGACATTGATCCAGTTTCAATTGCTAAGGCACCTATTGCACATGAAGGAACCCAAGACAATGATGGAGATAGTGATCAAGATCAAAATGATCATCATGGTGTAGATGTTATGGATGCTCCAGTTGATGAAGTTGTGGTTGATCAGCAACCAATTCCTGCACAGGTAACTACTACGAATGCTCCTGAAACCTCTCTTAGAAGATCTACAAGGGAGAAGCAAANAGGATAATCAAATAATTGTGATAATTTCAAATATAACATCGAAAAATTAACAAAGTGACAAATATTTTTTTAATATTGACCGCGCATCGCACGGGTACGACTACTAGTTTTAGAATTAACAACAGAGAAAATAAAAATTATTTGTGTGAGAGAGAGATATAAATTCTATTATAGAATGAAGAAAAAATTTGCACTAAAGAAAAAAAGTGAACGGAACCAGAATTGAAGTGGAAGCCAGATGTCCACAAAGTTGATTGTGCAATACACGTGTTCATGAGAGAAGAACTAAGAAATTGAATAAGCAATAAATTTAGTCCACGTTGATAAAAGACCCTTTTTTTTGGAACATTTGCAATTCAGAAAATACTGCTTTTACTTAGTTGGACATTTTTACCAATGTATATGATTATTCAGTATGAAGGAACTTCTACATATTGGGTTAGGATTTTTTTCCCTTTCATAATAAATAATTTCTGCTTTGTTAGCCTTATATGTCTTTATGAATTTAAGATGTATAAAATGCATACGCATAATTTGTTGAATAAAAGTTTACATGTATCAAAACATCATGGCACAAAATAGCAACATTAATAAAATAATATCATCTATACCTAATTGGACATGCAAAGTTTAAGTTCTAAATGGAAGTTGAGAACGAAAAAGTCACGAGAGAAAAGATAAAATTTCAGAATCTTATGTTACATGATGAAAGAGGTAATTTATCTTCTATGTATATAATTAAACTATTCTACTAGATGTCTTCAATGAAAAATTTGGTCTCCTCCTACTCAAAATTTTCAGCTATAAAACTATTTTCTCTTTTAATCATTCATCCTTTGTTTTATCTTTTCTGCTCCAGTTGCGTTTGGCCTTGGCTTCTAGATTCATTTCAAAATTTCTCTATTTTTCCGGTTTGTATGTGGATCAGCAAGTTCTGCTTAGTTTTGTTGTGCTAAGTGCCTTTTTCTTGATGAGCATATGAACATTTGATTCTATTTTATTTAGAGATGATTGATTTAGAATCTTGATTATGCGATTTACAAACTTTATTTTGCCTCTGATTTTATATTTGCGTTTATGTTTTATTGGTTTCAGTTAAGTGTGTCTGATTCTGATAATAAGTTTTCTCTCTTTCGCCATGTTTCCTTTATGGATTTTTTCTGTGGTTGTTTTTTAAAATTCCTCTTTAAGTTCAGTAATCTAACTGCTCCGACATCGGCTACAGGAAATTGCCACTGGAAGGAAAATAAACTAACAAGGTAAGAGCTTTAATGCAACCAATATATTTGATGAAATTCCAATGTATATGATAAAATTCTCCAATGAAAGAAAGATAGCTTCAGCAAGTTGGTTGACCACCTCTCTGCAATCAATCAAGTTTTTTATCAATGGACACTGATTAGATTAGTACAACTTGATTTCTACCACTTGTTGCACTTTGAATTCCCATTTTGTTGATTGGTAAGCTTCTGTGAGATTTGTCCGTGTTTTTCCTCTATGTGATTTCATTGTTTTTCATTTTATTTCCTCAGCTTTGTTTTAAAGAATTTTTATCAATTTAGATTTGTTTCTTTCATATATATTTTTTTATTTATCAAGATGTGAGACAGATCGTTTGCATGCTTACAGGGAGAGAAAGTATGAACTCGAGGGAGATTCTAGAGCAGCAGAATAAAGATTGGTCGTAATGGAAAAAAGAGAAAGGGGCAGGGGGCAGGCAATTGATGAAAGTGACATCAAACGACTATTGCCAAGGTGATGCTAACTTGATAGGTGAACATTAATTAGGTGTGGACTAATATTAGGCATATATTGTGGGTTTTGTATAGCTTTTAATTGGGTTATATTCCTATATGCCCACGCACACATACCCCTATCAGTATTGCACGAGCAAGCGACAATATGTGTATGTGTGCAAAGTATTGCGTTAGAACATATTTTACTTAAAGATATGTGTATTGCCAAGTCATTTTTCCTATTTGGTTGAACAGAGTTCATGAAATGGAACGCAAGCTTCATTGATAATCACAAATAGTAAACATCGGATATGATATTTATATGTTATGGGAGTAAGCGATACAGAATATGAGTGGAGTGAAAATAATTTTTAAAAGTATACAACTACAAGCTAGAAAATAATTTCACAAATGAAATTGAATTCACCATCAGAGTGAAAGTTTTCATTGTACTCATACTTATAATGTGCTTCATGTTAAAAAGTGAACATGGTATAACAGTTGCTCTCCAACTGTTTTGCAATTAATATTGAATTTCTCTCATGATTTTTACATGTTCTTCTTTTGCTCTGTTATTTGGTTCATTAGAGTGCTGGATTTTAGTACTAACTCATGTAAACGAAGTTTTGAGTTTAAATAGTCTAAGGAGTATATGATAAGTCCAACTATAGAGAATAATAGCTCGTTTGGCCAAGCTTAAAAAAAGTGATTTTTTCCAGAGTTGAAGTGCTTGGCCTAGATTTTAGAGGGAAAAAAATGCTTTTGAGTAGTAACAAAAGAAGTTTTGGAGAAGCAGAAAAAAATAGCTTCTCTCCAAAAACACTTTTTTTTAAAGCATTTTTGAGAAAAATACACTTATAGCCTGCTTGGCCAAGCTACAAAAATCAACTTATTTTGAGAAATATTTTTATTTTCTTCCAAAAGCTTGGCAACACTTCAACTTTGGGAAAAAAAAAACCTTTTTTGAAAGAAAAAAAGTGTTGTTAGGATTGGAGAAGCTTGGCCAAGCAGGCTATTAGAAGCAGTTTTTAAAAGCTTGGCCAAACATTAATTGTTGCTCAGAAGTGCTTTTCAAATAAATTAGCCAAACGCAAACTGTTTTCAAAAAAGTGCTTTTAGGATTGGAGAAGCTTGGCCAAACAGGATATTAGAAGCAGTTTTTAAAAGCTTGACAAAACACTAATTGCTGTTCAGAAGTACTTTTCAAATAAATTAGCTAAGCCCAAACTACTTCTTACCAAAAGTACTTTTGAAAAAAGCACTTTTGAGAAAAAACACTCTCAAAATAAGCTGATTTTTGCAGCTTCAACTGATAGGCTATAAGTTACACAGTTCATAGCTTTTGCATCTAATAAAATTTCTAATTGTTATATTATTGTGTCTATTAAAATAAACCACTTAAAGTTCTACAAAACTTTTCGATTTTGTTTAACTCTTTCACTAAGATATTTCCAAGGGAAAATGGCAAACAGTCTACATTTTAGATAAAATATTTGTATACCTTTATATGAATCATTGAGAATTTCTTATAGATCATAGGCTATCCAGCAGGTGACAGTTTTTGTTAATTTCAATTTATATGGTTTAGTTGTCCTTGATTGAAGCATAGCAAATTGAAATTATCTCAATTCATTGTTAAATCTCTTGAAGCTTATGAAGTACTCAATAAATTGAAGATGTTGTTCTTAAAGTGTTCAAGTGCAAGGATAATTAGACCTCTTAACTCACTTATTTGGAGTGCAAAGGCTTATTTGTTAAGTGTTGTCTTCCGGACTAAAGCCTATTCCGAGCCTCTTATCCTGAAATATTTGAAATTATGTCTAGGCATAAGTTATATACATGAATATTTGGTTTTGAATTTTAAGGTTGAGGAACTCTTAAGTAGTTTTAGTGGATATGGAAAAAAAGTTAACAATGTAGAAACAGAAACATACCATCTTCTTCACATGATAAGGAAGCTCTCAATCATTTTTACATTTGTTTGAATATTCCAAATATTCATCTGACTTTCTTCTTTCCTATTTGAAGGTAATGTAGCACTAATCATACGACAAATGTAGTGTATCATATTTATTTTGGGCTAATACTTTTATTAGCAATAATACCAAGGATCTCTTTGTCACGCCCCGAACCTAGGCCTGGACGTAACACGATACTCGGTGCCTGACTACATGTGACCGAGCGAACCAACTGACTGGCTGAATCAACATGTGATATCATAACATACTGAATGCGGAAGATAAACTAACACATGCTGGTATACTGAAAGTCTGAATGATAAAAATCAAAGTGTGGAAAGACTAATACAAGTCTAAAACATATCTGTAGCCAATATTGCTTAACATGAAAAACTGTGAGTCTGTCTAGCTGTTACTCTAGTCTATGAAGCCTCTAATGAAGTACTGAAAACACTGACTGCCTGTAAATACTGAAAGACTGTAAAGTAATGATAATGCCCCGAAAGAACTGGGGATCACCAAACAGCCGGTACGAGAATCCTAGCGCTCTGAATCATCAACCTGTAAATCATTACCTGCATTGTGAGATGCAGGCCCCCGACAAAAGGGACGTCAGTACATTTGAATTGTACTGGTATGTAAAACAACTGAAAGAAAGAATTATAAACACTGAAAATGAAACTAAGCTGATAACTGAAATGATAACTATTGAAACTGAAACTGAAGTGAGAACTGGTAACTGAACTGATAACTGAAAAGATAACTGAACTAATAACTGAAAAAATAACTGATAACTGATAACTGAACTAATAACTGAAAAGAGAACTGATAATTGATAACTGAACTGAATAAAGGAAGTAAGGATATGAATACTCCCTCTTCTGAATGGTGAACAACCTGTTTATCTGAATATTAAACTGCGGCCTCAGGCCCAATATATATATGTGCACAACTGCGGCCTCGGGCCCAAGTATACGTATACATAACTGCGACCTCAGGTCCAAAATGCATAAAGCATAAACTGCGGCCTCAGGCCCAAAGATGCATAAGCATAAACTGCGGCCTCAGGCCCAAAGATGCATAAAGCATAAACTGCGGCCTCAACCCCAAATACAGGTGTTCAACATTCAGGAACTGAGAATCATACTGCAATACATGATAGTGAAATAGTGAATTAAACTGTGTTACATGATACTGGAATACTGGATCACACTGAGTTACATAATACGGGAATACTGAATAGGACTAGACTGAGACATGTATTCTTGAACTGATTACGAACACTGAAACTTCAACTGTTTATGGAATACTGAGTAATCTATACTAAGACTCGGGGGCATCAAACCCAAGTCTATATTGAATACGCATTGAGCTCACAACATTCAGAATGAAAGTGGTGAACGAGTTATGAAGCTAGAGAATAGAAGTTCTACAGCTATTCAAGAAACTAGGCTTAACTATATTTCTGAGGCAATTGGTAACGTCGTAAAAGAAACGCAGTGTAGGGAGAATCATTAAAATTCCCAAACATAGAGAGTTAGCCTCACATACCTTAACTTCCTGCTCTTGAGCGTAATACAACATTCTCCAACCCTTTCAACTTTAATCTATATCAATAACAGTCAAAGGGATTCTATATTAGCAATAACTCTCATGTTTTAGTCACTTAAATATTTTCTCAAACACTTGGTGACATAAAGCTTCATAGTCCTTATTAATAGTATTTCTACGCCCAACAAGCCATTCTCTTGATCCTAGATAAATTCTAAGATCTCAAATGGTTATAATCAACATTATTCTTTATCACCCATAAGGTAATCAAAACTCATAACCAATCAACAACCCAAACCTATCACCGTTCATGCTTTTCTATCAAACCCATCAACTCATATCTCATGAACTATAGTCTATAATCATTAATTCAATGATAGAATCAATTAGAGGGTGAAGATATTACCTTTTTGACGTTCAATCTCCTTGAATTCGAGTTCTAGGGTTTCTTCTCTGAACAATGATGTCCCAATCGAATATCTAATGATATGGAGGATTTACCCATGTTAATAAGATGTTGGGAAATTGAAATTAACTTAGAATCACCATTAGAACTTACCTTGGATGGTGGAAGGACCCTTAAGGAGTTAGGTTTTTGAGACCCCTTTCTAGAGCAAGTTTTTATGTTTTGAGGATTGTGGGGGACGAAATATAGCTTTAAAACGACCCCCCACGAGCGCGCTCCCGCACCTGGAGGCCTGCCCGCACTACTGACCGCGCTTAAAGGCAGTAACACTGCCTCAAAATTAGCGTGGTCGCGCTATGGGCGCACTACCGGGCGCGCATATCGCATACTGTTATGTAAAATGCACATAACATTTTGCACAGAGATCCGTTTGGGCTCCATAATATATTGTTGGAAAGCTATTTTAAAGGCTTACAACTTTCATGCTTTGCGTTTTCCCAAATTCCTTACACATTTTCACTAAAACCTGCTGGAAAACAGACCTTCTGCAAACTTAGTTGATTTTGTCAAATCTTATGCACCTCACTTTCCATCTTGATTTTGAAACAACTATTTTCACCCATAATCATCCCGATGGGACTTCACATGTTCAAAATATAACCTTACTACTCCTTTAACTCATTCATACCTAAGACGAATTTTTGGGGTGTTACATTATCTCCCCCTTGGGATCATTCGTCCTCGAATGATTGTCCTGACTGTAACTTCTGCTAACTCCGGACCTTAAACAGGTCTGGTGGAAACATGAACTTTCACTAACACTTGTATACTAAACTGAATGAATACATGATTACTAAACTGTTGCGATACTGAACTGAATGACTACTGCATTGACTGAATATTGGTCTGCCATGGACACGTGAATACTGAACTAACATGGATATATGAATATTGAACTGGCACGAATATTTGAGTAGTTTGAGTACTAAGCTGGCATGAATGTCTAAGTATTGGACTAACATGAGTAGCTGAGTATTGAGCTGACATGAGTATCTGAGTACTGAACTGACATGAGTATCTGAGTACTGAACTGACTTGAGTATTTGAGTACTGAACTAACATGAGTATTTGAGTACTGGAAACTTGAATGTTATAACATGATACGTGAAATACTGGTTGTACCACCGCTAATTCTGGTGGCAACTCCAACTCATAAGCTATTTGACCGATCTTTTGTAGGATCATATACGACGTGATATATTTGGGACCGAGCTTTTCTTTCTTCCCAAATCTCATAACCCCTTCCATAGGCGAAACTTTCAGAAACACCCAATCATCAACTTGGAACTCTAACATCTTCAAACGCTCTTGAATCAACTTAACTTTCTCTATAGTCTGATAGACCAAATTTGGTCCCAACAACTCTTCTTCACCAACTTTGAACCAACCAATTGGCGATCTACACCTTTGCCCATACAGAGTCTCTCACAATGCTATCTTGATACTAGAATGGTAGGTGTTATTATTAGCAAGGTCAATGAGAGGTGTGTGATCATCCCAATTACTTTTAGCATCAAGGACATATCCTCGGCTGTCTGAATAATGCGCTATGCCCAGCCATCTTTCTTTGGATGAAAAACTTGTGCCTAATGACTTCTGAAAGTTCATTGTAAACTTAGCACCATAGTCCGAAATGACGGACCACGGAGCCCCATGCAATCAGACGATTTCCTGAATGTATAACTTGGTATAATCTTCTATACTGAATCATTAGTCTTTACTGGCAAGAAATGTGCTGGCTTGGTAAGTCGATTTACAATCATCCAATCCAATCATGCTTTCGAGATGAGCAAGATAATCCTGTTATAAACTCCATATTTACCATCTCCACTCAAAATATATGTATTCTGTGTTAAAACACTAGGCTTTCTACTGCTCGACTTTCACTTGCTGACAATTCAGACAATTGGCCGCAAAGTCTGCGACGTTCTTTTTCATGTCTTTCAACCAATAAATCTCCTTGGTCATGGTGCATATTTGGGGAACCTGGATGGAAAGAATACCTAGAATTATGCGCTTCTAACATGATCTTCCCTCTTTATGTCCATCTATGTCTGGGACACATAATCTGTCTTGGTACCTCAAAGTACCATCATCTCCCCCTTATTCAAAAGCCATCGTCTTATACTTGCGGATCTNCCTATGAATAGCACCTCTTCATCGGGAAATTACGTTCTCAGGGGTTCGTATTCTCCTTCCACAGGTTCCCAGAAAGATGATCTGCCAGTGCCTGTCCCTTGTACTTTTTCTGAGTCACATAAACAATATTGAACTCGCTCAACAGGATTTGCCACTTAGCCAGCTAGCCAGTGGGCATGGGTTTCTGAAAGATATATTTCAAGGGGTCCATCCTTGATATGAGGTATGTTGTGTAGGCACAGAAGTAATGCCTTAGCTTCTGAGCTATCCAAGTCAGAGCGCAGCAGGTACGTTCCAATAAAGAGTACCGCGCTTCATATGGAGTGAACTTCTTACTCAGGTAATAGATAGCTTGTTCCTTTCTCCCTGTATCGTCGTGCTGCCCCAGAACGCAGCCGAAGGCTCCATCTAGCACTGCAAGGTAGAGTAGCAAGGGTCTACCTGGCTCTGGCGGGACCAAGATTGGTGGTGTTGGTAAGTACTTGTTGATCTTGTCGAAAGCCTTTTGACCATCTTCGGTCCAACTAGTTGCAGCATCTTTCTTCAACATCTTGAAAATCGGCTCACATATAACTGTTGACTGAGCTATGAACCGGCTGATGTAGTTTAGCCGTCCTAGAAAACTCATTATATCTTTCTTACTCCTCGGCGGTGGCAGCTCCTGGATGGCGTTGACTTTTGACAGATCTAATTCTATCCCTCGGCGGCTGACAATGAACCCAAGTAACTTTCCGGCAGGAACCTCGAATGCACATTTTGCGGGGTTTAGTTTCAGGTTGTATTTCCGCAGTCTGTCGAAAAACTTCAACTGAATCATTAGTCTTTACTGGCAAGAAATGTGCTGGCTTGGTAAGTCGATTTACAATCATCCAATCCAATCATGCTTTCGAGATGAGCAAGATAATCCTGTTATAAACTCCATATTTACCATCTCCACTCAAAATATATGTATTCTGTGTTAAAACACTAGGCTTTCTACTGCTCGACTTTCACTTGCTGACAATTCAGACAATTGGCCGCAAAGTCTGCGACGTTCTTTTTCATGTCTTTCAACCAATAAATCTCCTTGGTCATGGTGCATATTTGGGGAACCTGGATGGAAAGAATACCTAGAATTATGCGCTTCTAACATGATCTTCCCTCTTTATGTCCATCTATGTCTGGGACACATAATCTGTCTTGGTACCTCAAAGTACCATCATCTCCCCCTTATTCAAAAGCCATCGTCTTATACTTGCGGATCTTTCTCTTTTTGTTGGGATCCAAATAACTTTCCTTATCTTCTGCAACTCTTTGCACTTTACGTCAATGACCACTCATCTTCCGACTTACTTTTGAGCATTCTTCCTTACTAAGAAAAACTAAATTATTCACTTAACGGAAAGCTAATGTATTCACAACTATTATACACAATCTTAATAATTTAACTCTGCTCACACTGTCAATCTTGGGGAGACCCATTTTCGATTATTCTTAAAGGCTATTCTTCTATAGTTTGTGCTCTCACTGCTAGCTGATTTTTTTTCCCACTGCCACTCTACTTCGGGTTTAACTTAAACTCTCTGGGTTCTAACATACATTAGGTATTTCAAACTGTCATCCACTCACTAGAGGTAACCTGGCTAAGTAAATCAAATTGTATCTCTAGTACTTCTGCTGAAATTTGCTAATTCACTGTATCAACTCAAACATACTAACTATTCTTTTACCAACTACCTGCTAGCGTCATGTGTTCATGTTCTGCTTTGAATAACTAAAGTGAAGCATAAGGCTATTTCTAATTTCTCTCATCATCCAACCTTATTCTATGGTCGCATACTATCCTTTTTTTTTCTAAATTATGTGCATAGATCACACTTAGGGAATTCATCTGTCTTAAACAAAAATTAGAAAATCTAACCCCAAACTTTCTATATGATACAAAATCATATCATACTATAAACATTTGCGGTAATCACTTAGTCACATAACCTAAGGGGGAACTGCCATATCTTTTATCTTACATCAATAGCTGCTTCTTATAGTACCTTACTAACATGATACTTCTAGTTCTGATTTGAATAAATATGAACAACTTAAAATCGTTCCTTGAAATTCACTATTGACTGTTCTTGGTTCTCATTTCATACATCATATCTTCTAGTCATTTGCATGAGTTCAACGAAAAATACATCTCTAATAATAACAATCGTTTTTGACTCCTAGGTATTTTACCCTTAGGCTTTTTTCTGTCCAAAACTATAGTGATCAATTCTATGCCCGCTGCGGTTGAATTCTTAACCTGATACACCATGGGGTCTGACATACGGATACACTGCCATACATATCTGATAAATCACTTCATGCACCATTCGATGAGTCTTGGGTCTTAATCCCTAAAACACGCGAAGATTTTTCTATAATCACTGTTACTTACATTTTCTTTGAGCAACCATATGCATCACTATATACTCACCAGTCATAAGAATTTTGATACACTGAAAATTGAAGATCTGGTAACTTAATAACTAATAACTGGCATACTGAATAACATAAACATGCTAACTGAAAGACTGTATAACTGGAAGTTGAGTAAAACTGATAACCATAAGACATGATAACTGCTTTTGTACTTTCTGATAAGGTTATGCTTTAATCTGTGTTACTATCCATTGCATCCCACTTTTAACGTCCTCTCAAGTCTCATATTTACCAACCTGTACTCCATAATTATACCCCAATGGGCAATTATCCTCTCTAGGACCTTAGGTTTCTCCTGCGCGTCGCTTGGGCATCCAATACGTTTGGAATTTGATAGGAAAAGAAAGTTAACTATTGCTCTAAGCTTCATGGCACGATCTAGAGTAGAAAGAAATGAGACAATCCTGGATGTCTTGGTAGTTAACCGTTTATATGAGTGGCCGGCACATACATATAAAGGAAACTCCACTAGACATGGCTTCATAGACTCCCTAGGACTCTTGAACCTAGTGCTCTGATATCAAGCTTTGTCACGCCCCGAACCTGGGCCTGGACGTAACACGGCACTCGGTGCCTGAGTACATATGACCGAGCGAAACAACTGGCTGGCTGAATCAACATGTGATATCATAACATACTGAATGCGGAAGATAAACTAACACATGCTGGTATACTGAAAGTCTGAATGATAAAAATCAAAGTGTGGAAACACTAATACAAGTCTGAAACATATCTGTAGCCAATACTGCTTAACATGAAAAGTTGTGACTCTGTCTAGTTGTTACTCTAGTCCATGAAACCTCTAATGAAGTACTGAAAACACTGACTGCCTATAAATACTTAAAGACTGTAAAGTAATGATAATGCCCCGAAAGAACTGGGGATCACCAAACAGCTGGTACGAGAATCCTAGCGCTCTGAATCATCAACCTGTAAATCATTACCTGCATTGTGAGATGCAGGCCCCCGGCAAAAGGGACGTCGGTACATTTGAATTGTATTGGTATGTAAAGCAACTGAAAGAAAGAATTATAAACACTAAAACTGAAACTAAGCAGATAACTGAAATGATAACTATTGAAAGTGAAATTGAAGTGAGAACTGGTAACTGAACTGATAACTGAAAAGATAACTGATAACTGATAACTGAAAAGATAACTGATAACTGAACTAATAACTGAAAAGATAACTGATAACTGATAACTGATAACTGAACTGAATAAATGAAGTAAGGATATGAATACTCCCTCTTCTGAATGGTGAACAACCTGTTTATCTGAATATTAAACTGCGGCCTCAGGCCCAATATGTGCACAACTGCGGCCTCGGGCCCAAGTATGCGTATACATAACTGCGACCTCAGGTCCAAAATGCATAAAGCATAAACTGCGGCCTCAGGCCCAAAGATGCATAAAGCATAAACTGCGGCCTCATGCCCAAATACAGGTGTTCAACATTCAGGAACTGAGAATTATACTGCAGTACATAATAGTGAAATAGTGAATTACACCGAGTTACATGATACTGAAATACTGGATCACACTGAGTTACATAATACGGGAATACTGAATAGGACTAGACTGAGACATGTAATCTTGAAGTGATTACGAACACTGAAATTTCAATTGTTTATGGCATACTGAGTAATCTATACTAAGACTCGGGGGCATCAAACCCAAGTCTATATTGAATACGTATTGAGCTCACAACATTCAGAATGAAAGTGGTGAACGAGTTACGAAGCTAGAGAATAGAAGTTCTACAACTATTCAAGAAACTAGGCTTAACTATATTTCTGAGGCAATTGGTAATGTCGTAAAAGAAACGCGGTGTAGGGAGAATCATTAAAATTCCCAAACATAGAGAGTTAGCCTCACATACCTTAACTTCCTGCTCTCGAGCGTAATACAACATTCGCCAACCCTTTCAACTTTAATCTATATCAATAACAGTCAAAGGGATTCCATATTATCAATAATTCTCATGTTTTAGTCACTTAAATATTTTCTCAAACACTTGGTGATATAAAGCTTCATAGTCCTTATTAATAATATTTCTACGCCCAACAAGCCATTCTCTTGATCCTAGATAAATTCTAAGATCTCAAATGGTTATAATCAACATTATTCTTTATCACCCATAAGGTAATCAACACTCATAACCAATAATAACCAATCAACAACCCAAACCTATCACCGTTCATGCTTTTCTATCAAACCCATCAACTCATATCTCATGAACTAGAGTCTATAATCGTTAATTCAATGATAGAATCAATTAGAGGGTGAAGATATTACCTTTTTGACGTTCAATCTCCTTGAATTCGAGTTCTAGGGTTTCTTCTCTCAACAATGATGTCCCAATCGAATATCTAATGATATGGAGGATTTACCCATGTTAATAAGATGTTGGGAAATTGAAATTAACTTAGAATCACCATTAGAACTTACCTTGGATGGTGGAAGGACTCTTAAGGAGTTAGGTTTTTGAGAGTTCCCCTTTCTAGAGCAAGTTTTTATGTTTTGGGGCTGTGGGGGACGAAATATAGCTTCAAAACGACCCCCCACAAGCGCGCTCGCGCACCTGGAGACCTGCCTGCGCTACTGACCACGCTAAACGGCAGTAACACTGCCTCAAAATTAGCACGGTCACGCTATGGGCGCGCTACCGGGCGCGCATATCGCATACTGTTCTGTAAAACGCGCATAACTTTTTGCACAGAGATCCGTTTGGGCTCCATAATATATCGTTGGAAAAATATTTCAAAGGCGTACAACTTTCATGCTTTGCGTTTTCCTAAATTCCTTACACATTTTTACTAAAACCTGCTGGAAGACAGACCTTCTGCAAACTTAGTTGATTTTTGTCAAATCTTATGCACCTCACTTTCCATCTTGATTTTGAAACAACTATTTTCACCCATAATCATCCCGATGGGACTTCACTTCAAAATATAACGTTACTACTCCTTTTACTCATTCATACCTAAGATGAATTTTCGGGGTGTTACACTCTTACGCATAACTATTGTATCTTAGCGTTAGTAAGGCATTTCATTACCTAATTTTTGGTATTTAGTTGTATCTGTTATTGAATCTTAAATATGACCTTGCACTTCCTTAAGTTTAGTTATCTTCCTACTTTATGCGTGCAACCAAGTTTCAGGTATCACACACACAAAACTTCCTGGAATGCTTATGCTCAGCTTTAGTATATGGATTTGTGTTAACTAATTAATTTTTAAATTTATTTCAGGCATTATTAGGTATCATCAATGGCTCCCTTTGGTGTCACATAATTATATGTTTTCAAGTAATGAATGTTGTGCGTTGTAATTTGGTGACTGAAATGGTTGAGGTGTGGAGATACCATAATGTAATAATAGTATATTGAGTAACAAATAATGAAAAATCACTGCATCAGCTATCCTGCTTTACAAAGGTGTATTTAGGTGTTAGGACTAACAATGTCACATCAGATCTAAGTTGCCACAATCAGCAAAGTACTAATTCCAACCCTGAATTAAGCAGAGAGCCTTCGAAATTAACATACTTGCTGAAGATACAACACAACTACAAATATTTTGCAGATAGATTGATGCAAAAGTATACCATATACAGTGTACACTGGAGAACGCCTTCATAGGTTACAGACATTCCACATGTCAAAAACAAAATAACACCAGAAATGGCTAATAAAACTGCTCATGTGTAAGGATCAGATCTTAGATGAGAATTTGTGTCTTTAAATGGAGATTCTAACAGCGAACTACAAGCCTATTAGCAGTAATATTTTGTTATTTTGGAAAAATTATTGAAAATATAAAGTTGATTTAAGTTTAACTCATAAGATAATGTAGCATTTTAAATTTAATCCTTTTGAGTGCATGGCTTTGCCTTTGAATTATCTGTAAATTTTTGGGTCCCATAACGTTGGCATCTTTCTGTTGAGTTAGGATAAATATGATATTGTTGGCCTATGAATACCCATAATGTTTGTTTAGGTAGTTTTTTTATTGGTTTATTCTTAGTCCTTTATAAACTAACGAAAGGAAAACAAACCAGAAGTGACCGTGTCCTCATATCTAACTAAAAAAAATACTATGACAAACATTATTTACATTAGAGCACTTTAAAGGATATCATTACCGTCTGCAGAAGCATGACCTCTTAAACGATAAAAGAAAAGTAAGTTCAATGATAGTAGATCAATTTATGCATCAAATATATACACATACGGCATTATGTGAATTTATTGTTGGGTTTGTTATTAATAAATAATAACAAAAAATGTATGAATGGAAAATGGTGGGAAAAGAAATGGAGGGAAGTGAAATTTTGAATGAGTTCATTTCACTTATGCACTTTGTCCCTCATTGGTAGAAGGAAAGAAAATCTTTGTGTATATAAAGAGAAGCTCATCTTTTAGCTCTTAAAGAGCTAAGAAGAAGGCAAGCCTCACGCCATCGTCGTCGCTCGGCTCGGCTTCGGTCAATGATTGATTAATCTTTTTGGACAAAATTTATTTTAAATATTTAATTAATTAATTAAAGAAAATTCAATCCGGAATAACCCATGACCCGCGACCCAGTCCGGTCCGGCCCGTTTTTCTTTCCTGGATTATTTTAAATCCGTTTTAAATTTTCCCGCAATATTTTCAACAGCCATGGCTGTTCTGAAACAGTGCCACACCTGTTCCAACAGCTATGGCTGTTCTGAAAGGTTAGAAACCTTTTCAGAAACAACACCGAAATTGGCTATAAATACACCTTCAAATCCCAGAATATATACTTACGAAATTTTCTGAATCTTCTTCTTCTTCTACAGAAAATATTCCAGTGTGTTTTACGACCATCGTGTGGTTCGCCGATCACCAGAGTTTTAGGTACCGATACACTGGTGAGTTAAATCGTTCTATCCTGGGAGGATATATTCCAAAACCTTGGGTACTTGAGGAGAATAATTTCCCTAAGGACACACTGTGTATTCAGTGGGCTCGATTTGTTCCTACAACATTTTCAGAATTTATTTTGAAGAAGTTTACTGTTTTCGAAATTTATTTTCTATTAACTTTCTGTTTTTTGTTTTCAGAAAGATTATTATTTAATTTATTTTCAGCAATACAGATATATAACAATCTTAAGGAAATTATATTTATTATATTCTGTATTCTGTCTGAATTTTACTATTCTGATTTGAAGATGTAAAAACTTCATTAGGATATTGAAATTCAGAAAACGATTTGAAGAACATAAAAACTTCATCGTTTTTCTGTAAAACAGTATATAAAAACCTTAGTTATTGTTATTACGTAATGTTTATTGATTACAATATTATTTACTGTTTTGGTTTTGCCATTAATTGATTTCTTCTGTTGTTGACAGTAAGAAATGGCAAATGAAAATGGAAATCCTTCTGCGACCGTTGGTGCAAGGACGATAGCCTCGTCAAGCCGCACCGCTGTTCCTCCGGCTGAGAAATCGGGGAAATTTTCCGGAACCAACTTTAAAGGATGGCAGCAAAGGGTGTTCTTCTAGCTTACCACACTTGGTATGCAGAAATTCACTAGTGAAGAGCCTCCAGTGCTTACTGCGGACATGCCGGACAATGAAAAGTTCATGGTTGTTGAGGCGTGGAAGCAGGCAGATTTTCTTTGCAAAGGCTATATTTTAAGTGCTTTAGAAGATGACTTGTACAATGTGTACAGTGCAATGAATACTTCGAAAGAATTATGGGACGCACTTGAGAAGAAGTACAAGACAGAAGATGCATGCTTGAAGAAGTTCGTGGTTGCCAAGTTTCTAGACTATAAAATGATAGACAGCAAAACTGTGGGAACCCAAGTTCAGGAGCTTCAACTTGTTTTTCACGACCTTATTGCTGAAGGTATGGTCGTAAATGAAGCATTTCAAGTGGCTGCTATTATTGAAAAATTGCCTCCTTCG